TACTCTGCAGTTGCATACGGGTTGGTGCAAGATCAGCATTATATTGGTATTGCTCATAGAAAGCAGTAGCCAAATCTTCCCAAGTGTGAATATTAGTCCCTTCCAGTTGATAGAACCATTCCAACTGTGTTCCAGACAAGCTCTCTTGAAATAAATGAACCCACATCTTCTTGTCAGTAGTGTGTAGTTGGATTTTCTGAACATAAGACCTCAAATGCAACTTAGGACAAGAATGCCATCATACTTAACAAAGACATGAGTTTTGAATTTAGGAGGGATGATAACTCTTGAAACCAGACCTAAATCATCAAAGTTCAATCCATGAACTTTCTGGATTTCCATAGCCCTCAGACGCTCTTCTAGTAGTTTATACTTCTCATCAGCAGGGGATACTGCTCATCTAGGTAATCGTCTTCCTCTTCATCAGGACATTTGTTTGAACCATGATGGCTTCTTTCAATCTTCACACTTTTACAGTCTTCATCTTGCTTGTCATCTTCATCAGATGGGATGTTAAGATCTCGGGCTTGCTTGACAGGACCTCTGAACCTTTTTCCCATTTTAAGAACTCCAATTGGTTTCTTTGCTTTCTTCTTCTTCTTCTCACTAGTGACCAGTACCTTCAGCTCTTCCTGCCGCTTGGCTAAGTTCAATAACATCTGTTGGAATTGAGCATTTTAAGCTTGGAGATCTCTAACGGTTTGTTCAAGATCCATTTTTTCAAACTGAAATAAACAATAAGAAGATGAGAAGACATATTTTAAAAGTATCTGTTATGTGATGATATGTATTATATGTAAATGTAAATGCAATGTTTCAAGGATCTTGCAGGGTAAAAATATTTGAAAATGATTATGGTCGCAACTTTGACTTGTGAAATATCGAGTCTTCATTTTTGGAAGTCCTTCTATAAGTATCAAGCTCACCATATCAAGTTGGTCTTAGCCTTTGACTTAAAGAATGTATTTTGATCTTTGATGGCGTCTAGTTAGAGGAAAATAAATCCTCTTGCCCCTTGCTAGCAGTCCGACTTAAAATCCTGCAACAAAGATCCCTAAGATCCTTAAAATGCTTAGTAAAATGACAAGTCATGATCATATGATGTTATGATGTCGTGTTCATGTTAGATACATATCAAACACAGACAAATCATACAAGAGCCTTAGTTTTAAAGGCTTGTATGGGGTCCATAGGTAAGTACCCTTCTTTATTGAAGTTAAGTGGGCTCAACATGTCCTAAAATAGTAACTGGGTTCTAGGAATCTCATATCGCGGATCTTTCTCGAAGGTTTTATTTTAGTACAATAACTAATTTTCCCCCAAAACATCATGCGAGTCGAATCTCAATGAGTGTAGCATCGAGTATCAACCAACCTTGGATTGCACCAAAGTCAGCCATCTCACTACCTTCTATTGGCCAAGATGGGTCAATTAAGGTTCTAAAAGTCTAGTTAATGCTAATGACACCACGCAGAAGCCTAATGTTATCCACGACTGACTCGAGGAACATTAGTACAATCCAAAGTGCCGCACTAACCGTAGCCATCACTTCAACCATATTGGTCTACACCGTACAATTTCCATGATCTATTGCTACTTACCTAAGGTACCCTAGATCCGGGTGTAGGATCTTGCAAGAAAGTAAACCCAATCAACTCTTTAAAATAAAGCAAACAAGGCAAACAAGTAAAAAGTGATCTAAACTCTAAGGTAACCCCTCCTTTTTAAGTATTATCTCCAGTAGAGTCGCCAGTTCTGTAATACGGTGGGAGAACTGACTTTTGAGTTTTATCGTAAATATGCGGATAGCTAGAGTCGCCACCGACTTTTCTTTTATCTAATAAGGAAAGGGTGAAAAGAACATGAAATACCTTGAAGATTTTGAGTTCGGGGGGTAAGATATGAAAAGGGAAGGTGTTAGCACCCTTTTCATCCGTAGTTATCTACTGGCTCTTAATCGCTAGCTCACTTTTGAAAATTGCCTTTTTGTGTAAGTGTTTTGAAAAATATTTTGAAAAGACAAAGTACAACTAACTTTGTAATGGTTCTTGTATCAGTCCTCAAGAACGCGTACAAAGTGTTTTAGAAAATATTTTTGAAAGTGACGTGTGAAAATGTTTTTTAGAAAAGTTGTGAGCGAGCGATTAATAGTTCTTACCCACTCAAGGCCGTTCTTGTTATTTTCCTTCTCCTTTAGAGATATTGTTATCCGTACCATTAGTTGGTAGGTAGCCCCATCTATTAGATGTGAATGGACAATCGAGGGTCATCGTATGGTCATCAAAGGCAACATATAAGGACACTTTAGCAATTTATCGAGGGACTAGATCATTTTTTGTAGGCAACTTAGAAGGGTCATCGAGGGACTATAATCTTTTTATTTGGAGAGGCTTTGCTAAAGTATCCATATTTTCGAGGGACATGACCATGTTTCCGAAGACAACAAAGGGAGGTTACCCTAGAGGTGCGAATGTGAATAATAATTCAATTGTGTTAATTTATCTTGTATTTAGGATTATGCTATCGGTTGATTATTATCTTTCCATACACGCCTAATTACTAACAGCATACAATACAACAAAAATATAAATGTGCAGAAAAATAAAGGTCCTACGCTATTACATGACTTCAGAGCAGTTACATAATAAAGATGCAAAAAATAAAACCATAAAACTATTACATCCTGGGAGCAGATACATAATAGAGAAAAAGTACGAGAAAAATAAATCTAAATTATTACAATCAAATAATGCTACCTATACACCTTTATCTAAAAATTAAATAGCAAAAAAGAAAAGAAAATATGAGAAAAAGTTTTGGTATTTTAGAAAATAATTTTTAATGATAAAAATAATTAATAAATCTAAAATTTATAATTGATTTTAATATTTTTAAAAAATAGGTTTAATTAATTAATCAAAATAAAAGTCAAAATTTTAATTATTAAAAAAACTAAACCTAATTTAATTAGTATTATAAAATTATTAAGTTTAATTAAGATTAGGTTTAATTAAAATTAGAGTTTTAATTAAAAGAAAATAAGTGAAAAAAGAAGAAAAATAGGGTTAGTGAAAAAGGCAGAAAAATAATGCATGGGGTGGATGTTGAACCCATGTCCTTGGCTTCACCAGCGCGCCCTTCTACCACTGCGCCAAGCGAAAAAAAGATTGCAAAAGGCAGGGATCGAACCCACACCTTTGTATAGTAATGCCTTAACATGCGGGCTCCTGCCACTGGGGTGGCTGTACATCCGTTAATAAAACAAAACAAAATAAATATAAGATAAACTTGATTAGAGGGACCGGAGAAGCACCAGAGCCCTAGCTCTGGTCGTCTTCTCCGGCGAGACATTTTTTAAAACCTGGGAAACAAAGCATATTAGTGACCAAATAGAACCCTACCCCCCTAAATCGAGGACTGTGAATTCAATGGCACCCTTAGTTTTGGCTAATTCTATCTGCATAATGAAATACGAAGAAAGTATTGTCAATCGGTTCAAGAATGACAACTCATGATTCTGGCATCACGGGGTTCATGCGATGATTCAGACCTGCATATTTACATCTCAGAAACATAATAAAAGTATAAGTATGGATCAAAGCATGGTAAAAATAAAAAATTGAAATTGGAAAAAGTATGGAAATCGATGATGCATGGGATGAGTGTTTCAGGCTTCTTTGATTATCAAAGATGATCCCAACTTACTCTGTAATGTCTCAAGGATTGATTTGAGTGGTTGGTTTGCTTTGAAAAGGGTTGAAACTAGGATTGCAAGTTTGCCCTAACTTTGACAAAATTTGAGGTTTTTAGGATGCATTTTTCTTGCAAGGTTTTTTTTGTGTTTAATGTATGAATATGCTGACTATATATAGATGAAGAGTTTAGGTTAAGGCATGGGCTTAGACTTTGTATGAAACCGTTGATCTTGTTTGAAAAATAGAAATTGGAATAAGATAAAATATCAAGATTTGTTTTGCAAGTGAACTCCACACGATTTTTATACCATCTTGGGCCTCCAATAGATTTGAAACAACGACCTATTATGCTTTACATCTCCCTTTGATATTTATTTGATTTAATTTTGAATTTAAATAAATAAAACTAAAATAAATGAAATAAAAAATTAAAAGGGTGTATGAATAGATTTAGAGGTCTATTATAAGGTCAAGAACACATTTGGACTCTAAAAGATAAGCCCATTTGTCCCAAAATTTAAGTTTGCTCAAATTGGATTTCATGCACTTTCTCAAAATTGCCCAACTTGCACTAATCATAACTCTCTCAATTTTTATCATATGAAGATGATATTGGAGTTTTTAGAAACCTCAAGTTGTCCTCTACAACCTCTATGTTGGTCATTTTTTCATTTGAAAACTTTATCTTAATGTAAATAGCTTTGACAAAAAGTGTCTTTTTGTTGACTTTTAAAATGATCTATACTGTTTTGGCCCATATCTCTTAAATGAAATATTTTTGGGCCTTGGACTTAGAAAGACAAAGTTGTAGAGAATTGAATTTGATTTAAAATGAGCTTTGGTTGATAATTTTCTGATGAAGTATGTGAAAATTATCTCGGTCAAAGTTCAGTTGACTTCTCCTAAAAAACTCTAATTTAGCAACTTTTGACTTTTGATGAATCTTGAGTTTTCTTGATGAGTTATGACCAACCCTTAATCAAATGATGAATGTGACTTCAAAATCTTGATGTTGACAAAAAATCTCGAAGTTTGACCGTATTGACCGTATGTTGAACACAATTGACTTTTTGTCCAATACAGTTGGTTTTCACTCATCTGAGCAATTGACTGAGCAAATTTGTGATGTAAGACTTAAAACTTAATATGAGGATTCTTTGTTTGACTGAGCAAATTTGTGATGTAAGACTTGAAACTTAATATGAAGATTCTTTGAAGCATATAAGAAACCGTGAAGTCCGCTTAAGGAATTAGAAATCTAATTTTCTATGAGAAAACCAAAACCCTAATTGTAGGCTACTGCTCATGAGGAGGATCATCCAATCATTCTTGAGTAATGTTAAACACTTGAGTACCTTGAATCAATTTGTCTTTGAAAAAATGGGAAGGATGATTTTGAGTACAACAACATCCGGTTACACTACTTTTCCATTTCCTCGACTTTTCACTACTATCCCTATTATTTCAGATTTCATGTCCCTCTCTTCATCTTCGCCTCCCTCTCTCGTCGTCTCCAAACCCTATCCCACTACAACCCCTTAATCTCCAAAGGATTCATTTCCTTCTTTCTCAAAAATGATGAAGAACATAAAGAATGAGCTAGGGTTTCAGCAGAATGAGAAAGAGGAAACATGTGAAGAAGAAATCGGGACAACAAGTTTGTGTTCTGGGTTCTTTTTTTTTTTTTTTTTTTTTCTATTTAAGCCAAGCTTCCCAATTTTTTTTTGTTTTTATGTTTATCCTTCATTTTTTGTTTACCAATCCCTCTATTTTATTCAACTAACTTTAGGGTTGCCCCTGTTTTTGGGAAATCGGTTGAAGTGGAGGTTGAGACATTAAATTTCGATGTCATAAGTATGTTCTTCTCACTAACTTCTACATTTGTTATGCTCACTATTTTGGTGTTTATCTGCATTGATTTCTTTGATGATTTCATTTTCTTTGTCCATGTTTCATGTGTTTGCTTAATATTATATGTAGTTCAGTTGATGTTTTGTGTGCTCTGCTGATGAGTTGAAAGACTCATTGGGTCATTGACGAGGTTTTTGATTTGACTCCATTGCTTTACATTTCTGTCCTACTAAAAAGCATCCAACCTATACTGTCAGGTAATAAAGTTATAAGCACAAGCACCAATTTCGGTTTTGATTTTGATTTTTCCATAATTGTGAATCCGATTCCTCATTTTGTTTGCTGTTTTTTTTGGAAATTTCCAGCTGTTGTAATTGGAAGTGGATGGTCTTACTGTTGGATGTGTTCTTGGCTTTAAAACTTCTTTAGGAGTAGCTGTAAGTTTGAAACATTTCTCTCATTGATTATATAGTTCTGAAATTTGTACATAGTTATCGAGTTAATGCAATTGTGAATTTTGTATACACTTCTAATCCAAAAGGTCTTGGTTAACTAACAACATTCTTTATGCAGGCCAGAAAATCCTCCGAAGTTCAAAGTTATTACGGAGGAATATATTAGTCTCTGCAAAGGCATGGTTTCTCCTAGCTATTTACCTTTTTTGTCAACTAAGTTTCCCCGACTGAAGTTGTTTTTATTATGTTATTCTTTTGGTTGAAGCAAATCTTGCGACGGAAATTATGCACGGAATTGATTGAGTCTTCAACTCACTGAAGACTTTCTTATGTTTGACAATATCATGTTTTTTTTTGTTTGTATCTTTTGGGTTGCTTTCTTTACTTTCATGAACTATGTGTTTATGTATGTAGTTACCGGTAAAACTTAAAAACTTAAAAACTTAAAAGGATGTGCTCAGGTTTGAATGATTTGAACATCCTCTGTTTTTTCTTGTGGATTATGATGAATTTGTAAAACAATTTCATAATTTAGTGACGCGTCTGAATAATTATGAGAAAAAAGTTATATATAGAAATAAAATATCCAACTTAGTTCAAAATATATTAAGTCAAATGTTTTCTCTTTTACTAAATGATTTCATTTATATGTTTTCTCTTATATATAATTTTTATGGTAATAACAGATCATTGAATAATTTAGAAATGGATCTTGAGGTGGAGCCAGATTCTTCTAGGGAACTCATCACGAAGAATTCAATTTCAGTGAGGTTTTTGTTCACTAAATGATTCGTTCGATCGAGTTTGTTTTAGGTTCAATTTCTAATACGGCGTCATATCTTCGACTATGCGTGTTAAGGTTTTCTTAGCCACAATCCTTATGTATTTTCTTGAATCTCCTATTTACAGATTCTTGTTCAACTGTTAATTTTTCTTAACATTTGCAGTTTTTGCTAAAAACAACCAATTTCTCTGAAATTTTCTTGTATTGATAAATAATAAGTTGAGTCCCATTGTTTTTGTATGGATTTATCATAGTAAAATATAGAAATCTGAAAGTTGAATAATGCCATGCTGTCTTGAAATTGTTACTGTGTTAAACTTATTTTGTTAGTTCACCAGCGAAAATGATTGTTTATAATTTTGAAAATATTGAATCTAAGTTATTTGTATTTTCTAATATATATATTATACTAATGATTGTGAACACCAAACTTTTAAATAAATTGAATATTTCTAGGTTAGATTTTATAGTTTGACATTTATTTGTATTTTTTTTAATATACATGAATTTTATATTTAATTAGGTTCTTTGTACTTTAAAATAGTTTTGAAATTGTGAGAAAATTTAGAGTTGATGAAATCATTAAAAGTTGTTTTATTGACAAGATATCTAAGTTTTTCATTAGAGTGCCATTAAGTTAACATTTTAAGTTTATTTTTTAAATTGAATAATTGTATTAATATATCTTTTTTTAAATAAATAATTGAATCAATATGTGTATCAGTGCCAAATCACTTAAAATTCCTGTTGGTGAGTTTCTTACTTTAACACAAGTTCTTAGGCTCTCTGTTCCAAGACATCATTATAAATTTTTTTCATTGACTTATCAAATTGCATTCTATCAAAATTTCAAAGATTTTAAAAGGTTGATATGCTGTAGAAAAATTGACATTATAACTTCTCATTTTTTATTGTAGTGTAAGTTTTGTGAATTTTATTATTAAAATTATTAATTTATTATTGTATTCTAAAGAAACAATAAAAGAGATATTTATAAATTTTATCAACTCATAAATTTTATCAGTGAAATTCACTATTTTCACGAGTTACTATTATCATAATACCTTTTTTTTTTAATCAACAAAATATTTATAAATATTTATAGTTATTAATGATATTTATAAATATTTATAATTATCAAATATATTGAACTTATTATATTGATTATTTGCTAGATGTTTATTTTTAAATATTTACAATTATTAATAATTTATAATAACAATAATATATCAGTAATAATTAAACTATATCAAATGATTTAAAATATAAATGAACTTATGTGTTCTGACTCTTCTAAAAAAATTTTATAATTAAAATCTTAACTCATCCATTAGTTTGTGGGTGATAATAAAGTAGATACTTTATGCACAACCCATATTTTTGGAGCAAAATTCTCATAATGAAATTTTGTTGGGACTAAAATTTTCTTTAGAGCACTAGTGAAATAAAAGCAAAACTATAATTAAAAACCTTATTGCAATCCCATTTGTATGGATAGTAGGAGTGAAAATGGACCAGACTAATAATATGAGCTTGTAAGTTAGTTTACATACATATAGGTGATGCCAAACTTTTTTTAAATAGAAAATATTCAGATTTTTCTATAAACTTATTTAGTTAAAAGGGTTAGGTCACATGCCGCAAAAAAAGCCTTTTAAACCTATCAGACGGGTCTATTTAAATAAATATGAATATTATTATTATTATATAGTTTTATATTTTAAATTAAAATACAAAAATAAAGTTTAAGATATCTAGAAAAATTTATGAAAATACGCTGAAAAAACCTTATGAATAATGTGATAAGTTGTTTTAATATGTTCTCTCAAACAAATAATATTACAAAATATATGTTAATAGGTAAACTTGAATAAGCCAATGCAAATAAACATCTAGTCTAATTAATATTTTAATTTGTTAGTCTATTTTAACATTAGTTGAATTATTATTTGAAAATGTTTAAATAAAATAGACTTTTATGTAGGTTAATAGGCTAATCACAATTTCGAAAAGATCAAATTCAGATCTAAAAATAAGTCTTTGATAGACCACAGGTCAGACTTAAATAAAATTTTTAGCAGACCAAACTCAATCTTAACAAAGTAACCTATTTCCAGTCCTAATAGAAAGGAATGGTATGAGGAATGGTATGGTGTATAGTAAATTAAGTGCGGTGTATGTAACACCAATTTTTATGGTTTTCTGAGTGTGGGCTGCAGCCCAATACATGTATCCTAAATCACGGTGGTTTTGGAGTGGGAGGTGCGGGGCCAGGGGTAAATACGTAAATCACACAGAGTCCCGTATCCAAACGCGAACTAGGTTGTTTATTTTGGCTATAATCTTTCCCTATTCTCACAGTTCTCACTCACTCGCTTTACGCAACAACACAAAAACGCTCTTTGCTCTCTCTCTTTCCTCAACTCCGCGGCTTAGATCTGAGGAGTTTTGGAAACCCTAATCCACCGTTCTCGCCATCAACCTCACCTCGCTTTTTCTCTCCGATCATCTACTTTTTCGTATCCTAAGGTATAGCTTTTTCTTCTAACTTTTTCCGATTCGATGCTATCAATCGCTTTTTTGTTTTCTCTTTTGAATATTCCTATCGATCGTTTTCTGAGTTTTCGTTTTCTGTTTCAATCGATTTACTTGATATCGAGCTGTTGAGTATTGGATCTGTTAAAGCTTTGATTTCCGTTTGATTTTTGCAGTTTTTATCTTCTTTTGAATACTGTTCTAACTTTTACGAAATTCGTTGCTTTCTCTGGTTTGATTATATCTTACGCTGATTTTGATTGCTTTTTCGTTATATGCTTAATTTTAAAATATCGATCTATTTTATTCATTATAGATCATGTTGATTTTATTTTATCTCTTAATTGTTTTTTTTCAAGCCGTGATTGTGCGACTTTCCTCTCTGTGTGGCTCTGACAAGATTAGATTTTGCAAACTTGATTTTATTAGAAGTGACTTTGTATAAAGTGATTAATGTTTTGGGAACATGTATTTTAAAGTGAGTTTTTTTTATACTCTGAATTTGAAAAAAAAGATATGGATAGTAGTTTGTTTGGTTGAGAGAGATAAGGTGCGAATTTAGCTTTTTGGGTTTTATGGGGGAAGGAAGAGATTTCAATATTGAAAAATGATTAAATTGGATTAATATCTCAGTTTTTTTTATAAGCGATTAATATCTCAGTTGTTAGGCTAAATCATTGTCCACTAATGGGATTTTTTTAAAATAGCTGAAGTTAGCAAAGCATTGCTTTGAACTCTTCTTTGAATCAGTGCAGTTGTAAACAACAATTTATTTGTATTGGCTGAATGCCAAACTGAATATTCTTTAGTAATTGTGTTGATTATTTTCCTTTTCATCTTGCAGTCATGGCAGGAGTTGCACCAGAGGGTTCTCAGTTTGATGCTAAACAATTTGATACCAAAATGAATGAGTTGTAAGGACACCCCCTTGATTTCTTTGTTCTTGTTTTGAAGTGTAACATTAAATCACGTTTTTGTCTAATTTTATATTAATACTAGTAATGTGATTCTGTTATTCTAATATAATTTGTTTTGATAACTTCGCTGCTGCAGACTCACCACCGAAGGACAGGACTTCTACACCTTTTATGAGGAGGTTTTTGAAAGTTTTGATTTAATGGGCTTGCAAGAGAACCTTCTCAGAGGCATTTACGCATATGGTATTTTAAAACTTTTCAAGTCCTTTTCTACTTTCTCCTTTTCTTTTCTATCAT